GGTGGCAGTGGGGATGGCTATAATGGATTTGGTAATGATGGAATCAATTTTGGAGGTTTGTGATTTTGGCAATTACAAAAATCAGTCTTCAAATTTTGGACCCATGAAGGGGGAAACTTTGGAGGCAGAAGCTCTGGCCCCTATGTTGGTGGAGGCCAATACTTTGCCAGACCACGAAACCAAGGTGACTATGGTGGTTCCAGTAGCAGCAGTAGCTATGGCAGTGGCAGATTTTAATTACTGCCAGGAAACAAAGCTTAGCAGGAGAGGAGAGCCAGAGAGTGACAGGGAAGCTACAGGTTACAACAGATTTGTGAACTCAGCCAAGCACAGTGGTGGCAGGGCCTAGCTGCTACAAAGACGATATGTTTAGACAATACTCATGTGTATGGGCAAAACACTCGAGGACTGTGTTTGTGACTAATTGTATAACAGGTTATTTTAGTTTCCGTTCTGTGGAAAGTGTAAAGCATTCCAATAAAGGGTTTTAAATGTAGATTTTTTTTTTGCACCCATGCTGTTGATTGCTAAATGTAATAGTCTGATCATGACGCTGAATAAATGTGTCTTTTTAAAAAATGTGCTGTGTAAAGTTAGTCTACTCTGAAGCCATCTTGGTAAACTTTCCCAACAGTGTTGGAGTTAGAATTCCTTTAGGGTGATGCCAGGTTCTATTGGAATTTATTTACAACCTGCTTGGGTAGAGAAGCCATTGTCTTCAGAAACCTTGGTGTAGTTGAACTGACAGTTAACTGTTGTGGCCTAAAGTTCACCATTAAAAGGGGTCACCCAAGCAAAATCATGGAATTATTGGTTATAAAGATAATTGTTGGCACATCCTATGCAATATATCTAAATTGAATAATGGTACTAGATAAAATTATAGATGGGAATGAAGCGTGTGTATCCATCATCATGTGTAATCAATAAACGATTTAATTCTCGAATGAAAAAAAAAAAAAGAACAGAGCCTGAACTAATAAATGTGTTGCAAATCCTTGACTTAAAAGTCACATTTCAGCCGGGCTCGGTGGCTCAGCCTATAATCCCGCACCTTGGGGGGCTGAGGTGAGTGGATTACCAACTTGGCGAGACCTTATCTCTACAATAAATAAAAAAAAATTAGCCTGGCGTGGTAGCATGCACCTGTAGTTCCAGCTACTTGGAAGGCTGAGGCGGAAGGATCGCCGGAGCCCGGTAGGTCGAGGCTGCAGTGCCACTGCACTCCAGTCTGTGCGACAGAGTGAGACTCCAACTCAAAAAAAAAAAAAGTCACATTTCTTGGTTTAGTTGAATAAGTTATTTAAACTCTGAACTTTGGTTTTGTCTCTAAAATCCAGATGCTGATGAGATACAAAGCATGCATGTCAGGCAGGGGAAGCTTGTGATTGGTCTTTGATCATGGATTGACCCATTGAGAGGAAGGAGTTAGCACTTCTACGTCTTGGGAAAACACTATGTACTTACAGGGTTTGAAGCAAGGGTGTTTATGTGATCAGAAATACGTTTTGAAATGAGAAGAAACCATTGATCTCTGTGGCTAAAGTGGGATCTGTTAGTTATCACTCTTTCACTTCTCTTTAATCCACTTAGTCTAACATTTTGTTTACTTGCTGTAGTGGGCAGATTCTAAGGTGGAGCTCATGGTCCCTCTCTGTGGTTCTCATGCCCTTGTGTGTTCCCCACCTCATGAGTGTGGATGTTTCCTGTGACTACCCTCTTGGCTACTCTGAGCTCTTGGCTACTCTCTGGAAAGCATCCCACAAGAAGAAGGTTGTGTAAAGCCCTCAGCACTAAAAATACTCCCAGACCTTGTAGCCCCAGCCCAGACCTACTCTTTAAGCCAACTGTCTACTTGACACATCCACTTGTTATCAAAAAAGCATATCTGACTCAATATGAGCAAAGTAGGGATGAATGTTCACACAGCCTCCATCTCAGAAAATAGTGTTTAAACACAGAGAATGATACCCCAAAGTACGGTGTTTTGGCATGCTGAGTGCTTTTGAATTAAAGATAATTTTAGGGCCTTAGAAGTGACCTCAGAACCAGGGACTTTCTAATCTTCTCTTGTTTCTGCCCCTTCAAGTAAAGGGAGATGCTGTCTCTGGAAGTTTCCTTTTCTGAGGAAAATGTCTTCCAAAAGAAATGCAATTGTCTTAGGAACTCATCAAATGCATCCAGGAAAGATTCACCACTGGAGAAGAGACCAAAAGGCATCACATGCCCATATAGACTTTTTATCTACTTTTCTAAGGGCAACTTTGAGAAATTACCTAAAATTCCTTGTCTGTATGTGCCACAACCTTTGTTCGCGGTGCAGTTCGGTCCCTCACCTTTTCACAACTTGTCCTATTCAGCTTCCCTAAAAATAATTTCTAATTCCTCAAAATTGTCTGCATTTCCCCCATCTCCCTCTATACCAGCTTCAATTATCTGATCTTTGAGACTCATATTTGCAGGACTCCTGTTTCTATGTGCATGTTAGTAAATTTGTGTGTCTTTTCTCCTGTTAATCTATTATTGGTTCATTTCAGCAAGGCTTCAGAGGGTGAAGAAGCTTGGTCTTTGCCCCTATAATAGTGTCATTGACCACCTACTGGCTCAAGCTAAAAATCTAGATGCCCAACTTGTGTCCTGCTGTCCCTTTCCAACATCACCAAATGCTACTGGATCTCCAAATGGGGAAAGTCTCCATTACCTCCACCTTAGTGTAGGTTTTAAGAACAACCATCTTCTCTACCCTGGGCCTCTGAAGACCTCCCAATTGGCCTTCCTAATCCCAATCTGCTGGTCACGGAATGATCTTCAAAAACCTGTCTGATCGTGTCACTAGTCCATGTAAGATTTTTCATTGTCTTCCTTTTTCCCTTTGGTATAAACTTCCTCCTCTATGTGGTCCTGCATGATGAACTCCTGTCTCTCCTCCAATTACTCTTTGTTTACCAGGCCCAACCACACTGATGTTACTTCTTTCTCTTAAATATATTAATCTCCTTCCAGTCTCTGGGCCTTTGGGCTGCTGTGCCCTTTGCCAGGAATACCTTCCCTACAGTGCTTGGCATGGTGTGAATATCTCATGCTTTGGTTCAAAGAGAAGAAACCATTTATCTCTGTGGCTAAAGTGGGATCTGTTAGTTATCACTCTTTCACTTCTCTTTAATCCACTTAGTCTAGTATTTTGTTTACTTGTTATAGTGGGCAGATTCTAAGGTGCAGCTCATGGTCCCCCTCTGTGGTTCTCATGCCCTTGTATGTTCCCCACTTCATGAGTGTGGATGGTTCCTGTGACTACCTTCTAAACAGAATATAGAAAAAAATGACAGGAGGTATATGATTACCCGTAAGTAATTATGTTCCCTAAGAATGTCTATCTTAGCTGGGCTCGGTGGCTCAGCCTGTAATCCCGCGCTTTGGGAGGCTGAGGTGAGTGGACTGCCTGAGCCCACAGGTTTGAGACTCACCTGGGCAACTTGGTGAGACCTCATCTCTACAATAAATGGAAAAATTAGCCAGGTGTGGTAGCATGCACCTGTAGTCCAGCTACTTGAAAGGCTGAGGCAGAAGGATCGCCGGAGCCCAGCAGGTCGAGGCTGCGGTGACTGGAAGCATGCCACTGCACTCCAGTCTGTGAGAGAGTGAGACTCCAACTAAAAAAAAAAAAAAAAAAAAAGTCTGTCTTGCTGAGGCTCTCTTCCTTAGTAGCTTTGAAGCTTTGAAGAAGCAAACTGCCATACTGTGAACTGCCACAGGGAGGACTATATCATAGGAAGCAAGGAGCCAGCCCTGGAGCCAGCTAGATGCTGCCAACACATGAGTGTGGGGTGTCCCTTTCCAGTCTAACCTCAAATGAGAACTCAACCTTGGCAACACTGTGATATCAGGTTTGCAGAGGATTTAGCCAAGCTGTGTCTAGAGCCTTGAAACGTGGAAAATATGAGATAATAAATGTGTGTTCCTTTAAGACAATAGTTGGGTGGAAGATGGTTATGCAGCAACAGATAATATGCTTGTTAAGTGACTCCTGCATTAGATAGAAAACCAGGAAGGAGACAAAGGACCCTTCCATTTCTCATTGGGTAAGTAACATAGATAATACCAGACACTTGCATGAGGGAAAGTCACAATCAATAAACAGTAACAGTTAACATGAATATCCCCCTGGAATTAACAGGAATAAGCAGTGTCAGCATGGCTGAATGTCATGGGATGCAGGAAAGTTTCAGTACCAAATTAAAGTCTTTAGGCCCCACTATGGTAAGTAGCAGCATTTGTTTTTGTCTGCCCAGCAAACATTTCCTTTTCTTCTGGGATTTCTTTGGAAGTTTCCTTCTTTCTCTCTGCACCTCATTATCCCTACCCTGTGTGGAGCCACTGGGGCTGACCTATCACCTCCCTTGGTTCCTGAATAGACATCTGTCCCTGCACTGGCCTATCAGCATATTCCATCCTCCTGGCCACTGTGATTGGTTTGAGGATGCTCACAGGACCCAAGTCTGTCCAGTCAGAGCCAAACCCAGAATATCTGTATGTACTATTGGAAAATATCAGCTTTCTTGCCCAGTATGGAGGTACTGGTGCCTCTAGGTGGGGTGGCCTGCCTGAAAATGCAACTTAGGCCATGCTGAGTGATGAGGAATGAAAGGTGCCCAATGGTACCACCCAAGCCCCTGGATTCAGCACTGGCTGAAGATCTACCCGTTGGCTTTTTGGTTAAATGAAAATTAACCCCTCCTCCCTTCATTCCTACCTTTTTTAAAGGAACTTTGAATTGAGCATCTATCACCAGCAACTAAAAAAGCCTATTATCCAGGATCTGCCATGAAATTGACAAGAGAAGGAATAGGCAGGTCTGAAGAATGGGAGGTAGAGTGGGGGCGGGGATGCAAAGAGAAAGACTAAAGAAAAAAAGTCCAGCCAAATAAGTATTTTTTAAAATGCCACAGCAAATAAGCCACTAAAGAATTCCACTGGGAAATCCCATAGGGTGTTTTTTTTTTATTTGGTAGTCCTTTAGTATTTTTCTTGAATAAATGCCTTAACAGGACAAATTCTTTAAAACAATATAAAAGTATCAAGTGCAAATATTTAAAAGGTTAATAGCACTTAACAGGACTCAACAGTAACAGTATAAACTATACCTTTAGACTCTTTCAAAAAGACTCTTGGCCACAAAGTTATGTTTGAACTCTATTTTCCAACTTTGAGAGGCCATTATTCTTAAATGTTGCTGTTCTTTCTGATAAAATATGAAAAACACAGAAGAGCTTGTTCTGTTTTGGATTTTTTTTCACCACTTATTTCAAATGAGTGGAAAATTAAAGTTTCCCGCATTTCTGAAAACAAAAAACTAGAAACAATCCACTGTTGCTCCCAACTGGGCCTTTGGACACAAGCTCCAAGAGGCCAGGCTCTAGAAGCTGAGGACTGTGCCAAGGTCAAGCCTGCATACCTGGGAAGAGGAGGGTGAGAGGCTGTTAAGCTATTACGTTCCTCTGCTGATTCTTCACGTGAGGGTGTGTCAGCCAACAGAACCAACACGAGCAACACGATCCCCAAATTGGCCACTGCAGGATCCTACAAACATAAGTGAAAAAGCTAGAGGACACATCCAAGGAAGGAATGCCTGACTATCCAGCCTCCTTCTCTGAGTCATAACAACAGCTTTTCAGAGATGTTTGAAAGGAAGCTCTAGTTCCGTTCAGCCGGTCATTCCTGGTAGATGCCCTCAAAGTCTGAGGAATTCGTAGCCAGCTGACAGTCATCACTGGGGTTTTGCTGTGTCGGTGGTCTGAGAACAAGAGGAAATAGTTAGCTCTAAGGCCTCTTTAAAGAGTAGCACGTTGAGTGTGCATAGCTGAATACATGAAATTATTTGCCAATTTATTTTTAGCTGCTTCTTGCAACCATACCAGGCCTGGGCCCTGGGTTATCTCCAGGTTTTTGTCAAGCAACAAAAATAGATCCCTATTTATTCAAGCTGGTATCTACTTTGTTTATTTCATTACTCACCACCTAAAGCATTCCTACTTGATAACAAAAAAAAAGAGAAAGGGATGAGCACAGTGACTCACACCTGTTATCCCAGCAATTTAGGAGGCCGAGGAGGGAGGATTAGTTTGGTGCCAGGAGTTCAAGCCTAGCCTGGACAACATAGTGAGGCCTCATCTCTACAAAGAAATCAAAAAAATTAACCAGGTGTGGTGGTGCACACCTGTAGTCCCATCTATATGGGAGGTTGAGGTGGAAGGATTGCCTGAGTCTAGGAGGTCGAGGCTGTGGTGAGCCATGATCGTGCCAGTGCACTCTAGCCTGGGTGACAGAGTAAGACCCTGTCTCAACCAAAACAAAACAAAACAAAACAAAACAACAACAACAATCTAAGAAAGGAGCCTTTCTTCTTTTTCAGTAAAGATGTCAGGAAACTAAAGCATGCTTTGGCTGCTTTGGAAGACTGGGGGTGTGATGTGGGTTCGATGACTTTGGTGGCACCAAAAATAAGACACTGGCTGCCCTGGCTTCCCACTTCTCTCCAACTGCAGGCCCTGGTAGGTCTCACTGTCTCCATGACAAAGCAGTGTGGTCTTTCCTCCTCAGAGCCTAGTTTATCTACATAGGAGGCAGGTCAATGTACTTCATCAAAAGATCAGTTGGCTGTTTTTCATAAGTAAGGATGTCTTATAGTTGTGTTACCTTTTTTTTTTTTAAGTCAGGTGTCACTCTGTCACTCAGGTTGGAGTACAGTGACACAATCATGGCTCACTGCAGCCTTGACCTCCTGGGCTCAAGCAATCCTCCCACCTCAGCCTCCTGAATAGCTGGAATTACAGGAGTGTACCACCATGCTTGCTAATGTTTTTATTTTTTTGTAGAGATGAGGCCTTGCTGTGTTGCCTAGGATGGTCTCAAACTCCTGGACTCAAACAGTCCTTCTGCCTCGGCCTCCCAAATGCTGGGATTACAGGCCTGAGCCACCGTGCCTGGCCTCCTTTTCTTTTTTTTTTAAAAAATGGAATTGCATTATCTTTCGTTTTAGGGTCAAAATCTTACTAAATTATGAAAAAAAAAGGATATCTACTTCCTCCTATGCTTGAGGTCAATTAATGAGGGAGCTATCTTTTCCTTGAATTTTAAAGAATTCACTAATGCAGGGGTTCTTAGATGACAACTATCTTCATAACAACACAACATAATATGCCTTTTTCACTCATATTCTCTCACAAGGGAACAGTGCAGCTTTTCTTTTCTTTTCTTCTTTTGAGTCAGAGTCTCACTGTGTTGCCTAGGCTGGAGTGCACGCTCACAGCCACCACAGCCTCAACCTGCCGGGCTCAGGTGAGCCTTCTGCCGCAGCCTTCCAAGAAGTTGTAACTACAAGCATGTGCCACCATGCCCGGCTAATTTTTTGATGTATTGTCTAGATGAGGTCTTGCCAAGTTGCCCTGGCTGGTCTTGAGCCCATGGGCTCAGGCAATCCTCTCACCTCAGCCTCCCAAAGTGCTAGGATTATAGGCATGATCCACTACGCCCAGCCTCAATTTTCATAGTATATTTGGAAGATCTGCATGACTCAAAGTGCAAATATTCTACAAATGGTCACAGGATCACACTTTATAAAGGTCCATTTAAAGTGCATGCAAGACAGACAGTGGATTTTCATATAAAAGAATACAAAAATTCCATGTTTCAACTAACATTTAAGAAACTACCATTTATGAAGTTTTGGAGTACTATCATAGAGCAACATCCACAATCATCCTCCCTTTCCAAACCATACATTTGTGAAGCTGAGTCTTGTTCTTCAAACACTTCATCCAGAATTGCATATCACAACAGAACGAATGTAGACACACAAACGAGAATGTAGCTGATTTCATTAAGGTAGACATTCAAGAAGTTTGTAAAATGTAAAACAAAGCAACTCACAAATTTTATTTTGCTTTGGAAGACATAATTACTATTCATCAAAATATGTTATTTATATCAACAGGTAATATTGTTCCTTTTAAATGAGCACTTTAAAATTTTTCTTTTATAATTTCTAATACAATAATTATTGATACAATTAACCCACAAAAACAAAAACTCTTTGGATACCTCAATAATGTTTAAGAAGGTCAAAAGGGTCCTGATAACAAAAAGCTTGACAACCTCTAAGTGAAAACAATTGGTTGGGAGGAGTAAAGGAGAATGAGGAGATCAGGTACAAATCCTGAATATCTTTTTCTATCTCCTCATTAATAAATAGGTAGTCATATTTTGCTACTTCCTGTGGTATAATTCTTAAGAACTTGCCCTATCACAGTAAGGTTCAGAGGCAAGGAGAGATTCTGGCTCAGAAGCATCACCCTTAATAAGCCAAATAGGCCAACACTTCTCCTTTTACCTTCTTTTTTGTTTTGAGTTGGAGTCTCACTCGGTCGCCCAGACTGGAATGCGCAGTGGCCGCTTTCGGCTACCGCAGCCTCGCCTGCTGGGCTCCAGCGATCCCTCCGTCTCAGTCTTCCGAGTAGCCGGAACTACAGGCGCGCGCTACCACGCCCGGCTGATTTTTTGATATATTGTAGAGGTGAGGTCTCGCCTGCCCAGGCGGGTCTCGAACCCGCGGACTCAGGCAATCCACTCACCTCAGCCTCCCAAAGGCGCGGGATGACAGGCTGAGCCACCGAGCCCGGCTTGATTTTTTTTAAATTTATTGTAGAGATGAGTTCTCGCTGCCCAGGCGGGTCTCGAACCCGCGGGCTCAGGCAATCCACTCACCTCAGCCTCCCAAAGGCGGTGGATTACAGGCTGAGCCACCGAGCCCGGCCTTTTACCTTCTTTAAGACTGATAGTGATCAGAGCAGTTTATGAGAAATTCAGTGTGACTCCAGGAATATCAATTAAGCAATCCTGTGAGAACCACCCCTGAGCGATTTAAAATGATACCCACTTCACCCTTTATCTTTCAACGATGAGTAACAAGATAACCTTTTGGTAAGAATTTCAGGGGCTATTCTGTAGAAAGACAAAACTCAGGATGTTGGTTCTTTCAGAACAAGGATTGGCAAACCATGGCCCCTAGGCCAATTCTAGCCAGCTGTCTGTTTTTGTAAATAAAATGTTATTGGCATATGGTCATGTCCATTCATTTCCTTACTGTCTGTGCTGCTTTTGAGCTATAGCAGCAGAGTTGAATAGTTGCAATAGAGACCGCATGGCCTGCAAAACCTAAAATATTTACCATCTGGCCCTCTACAGAAATTGTTTGCTGACCTTTGTTTAGACAATCACTTTGTATATTGGCTAAAAGGGCTTTAGAATTAACTGATCTGGAGTCAGTCCCTTTGGGACTTGGCTTCATTTTCCTTACCACAGAATGAGGCTAGTTGTGAGGATTACACGGGGTAAGACCTGGGAAGTGTCTGAGACCCTGGCACAGAGCAAGTGCTCAGCAGTCACCATCATTAATTTAGCAGGAGCTTAAATAAAGTATGATGAATTTGGGATTCAGATTCTAAAATCAACACACAGGACAAAAATCAAGCATAAGAAATAAATCACCTCTGAAAATCCCTGAGGAGAGTGACACATTATAGACAAACACAGTGTTTCCCAGTAATGTCACACAGCTGGGTTTTCCCTTCTGCACTTAAATAGATCACCGTTTCTTCAGTCGAGGCCCTGGATGAAATAGCTGGCATTCAGGAGCCATACTATAGGAGCAAAATCTGTATAGTCAAAGATGAAACTTACACTCAGTTGGTGAGAAAGTCACACTCTGAAGAGCAGAGAGAAGCAAGACGGACTTAGGGGGCAGAAGTGTCATTGCTCCCATACTACTCTGGGGGACAGGCATGTTTAGTAGAATGGTGGGTCATTTTCCCCCTATTCTCCTCCCCCCTCAAAAAAGTCCTTAATTTGACTTTTTGTATATTAAATGGACATCTTTTTACATGTATCAGTAAAAATTACCTCATACAGTTGCTATGACAATGTGCATAATGGAACACGGTCGTAATAGCTTTTGTTTGAAACTCCATTGTAAACTCCCATTTGATGTCTGAAGTACATAGGGAACTATGAGAAACTCCTGCCTCTTTAGAATTTTGCTTCTGGACATCAACTGGGGTCAGGGTTTTCTGCAAATCTTCCCAAATGACAAAGATTAAATTATTCCATTAACATGTATGTACCTGGGAGGAAACCAGTAGTTGAAGAGGCTGGAGATTACCACGTAGGATGCTATGATGGTCCCCGACATGGCGACTGACACGAAGCCCAAGCCACAGAGGACACAGAGCAGTAAAAGGCCACCCACAGAGATGACCAATCCTAGGAAGAAAACATGGTTAGGAGAAGTACTCATCTAAAATGGGTGGGAAATTGGCAGACCTGGGGCCAGTTTGTTTAAAATATAACAGTTAGCTTATACTTTTAAAGTGAGATTTCCCATAAAGATTCAGACTTTTTAAGTGATCTTAAAAAGAAAGAGGTGATCTGGTCACCCATGTAGGCATCACAGAATGTCAACAACTGGCTGGCCCTCCTGCTGCCTCCAGTCCCCACCATTCACAAATTGTGCTAACTTGGACCACTTTGCTCAGTTCTTCTTGCCCAAATGTATATGAATTTGAGACACCCTCATCTTCAAGGTCAGAGATGGACACCCAATGGGATCCTCTAGGACAAATCAGTCAAAGCATCACCCTTGACTGTTGAACAGTTGCAATATAGACTGCATGGCCCGCAAAGCCTAAAATATTTACCATTTGGGTCTTTCCAGAAATTGTTTGCTGACCTTTGTTTTAGACAGTCACTGTATTTTTGTTAAGAGGGCTTTGGAATTAACTGGACTGAAGTCCCTTCTGTGCTACTCTCAGCTTTGGGGCTTGGCCTTATTTTTCTTATCACAGAATGAGGCTAGTTGTGAGGATTACATGAGATAAGCCCTGGGAAGTGTATATTTTACATGTGCTGAATTTGAAGCTCAGAGAGGGTAAATAACTTGCCCTAAATCACACTGGTGAAGGCAGAATTCTGATGCACACTCTACACTCCATGTTTTCACTACTCTGACAGCTGTCTTGTTTGATGTGATTTTGACAAACAGCAATGGCAGATGCCCGATAAATACTGTTCTCCAACTGAGTCATCTTCCAGGGGAGGGTGAGTAACGGAGCAGGCTACCTTCCAGTAGTATGACCCCCACCAGCGCAGTCAAGGAGGTAATCACCACAAGAAGCAAGAAGAACCCAATGGGAACAGTCGACATGGCAATGAACACCAGCAAGGTGAGGGCCAGAAAAGGATGTCTGTCCAAGTACTGACCCACTGGAGACTTTACAAAGGCTACCACCTGTGGGAAAAGGACAAAGAGTCAGGTTTAAGTACCATATCTGAATCCCAGGTTAAATGGATCAACCTAAATTTTGGGAAGCACAACAGAGATTGTAAAGTTGGAAGGCTCATATGTAAGAAATCGCTACAATAAGACACATCCCAAGACACGAGTCACCTGGGCTACAACCTAAGGCAGATGTGGACAGGTGACAAGTTTGACGGCTCCACCCAAGGTCTTGTGAAAGGAGGAAAGGCTCAGTCATGGTGCTCCTGCTAATCATACGCCTTCTCAGGAGACCTCTTTGGCATATGTGTGCATTGATGCAATGTACATACAGTTTGCCTCCTAATTTATAGTTGAAGTTCTCCTAGTTGAAGCCACAGAGGTACAAAGAGGTTAAGTCCTAGCCACCCTGCATCACCAAAGAGTTTGTTAGAAATGCAGGCTATCAAGCCCCTCCCCAGTCCTGCTGAATTAGCTCCTGCTTTTTAAACAAGATCCCCAGGTGTTTTGTACACACATTAAAGTTTGAGAAGCAAGGGACTAAATTATTGTCTACAGTCACAGTTTCCGGGTGGCAAAACCTAGGTATAAAAGCTAAGGCCTTGGACTCCAATGTCAAATATTTACAACAGCTGTCAAGTCACCAGGTAAAAATGCTTTTATGTCATCAACCTGGATAGCTGGCAACAGCCTGATGACTACTGCAAGATTATACTGCACTAATAAAGAGGTCATTTTCCTTCACCAGGTAGAAGAGCCTGACTCACTGGAGGAAGACTGCTTTAATTCAAAGCTGTCCCTAGGCAACCTTACAAAGATGGATTTCCCACTCTCCTTAGGCCCTATGCCTTCTCTCTCCTCAGTACTGCCATTCTAGGCCCTGTTGCCCTAAAAGTTTCCATCATTCCAGAATCTTCTTCCATTATAACTGGTCCTTCCTGTGTCTCATTCTTTAGGACTATGCAGGGCAGCAGCTGAAATGAAGATATAATTCAAGTACAACAATCACAGGTGCCACTACACATGTACCTCCTGGAAACAGAAGTTCACCCAAGCAATTCAAATGGTGGGACTTTTGGGGCAAGTCAGAAGGTAGGAAGGTTTTGTAGTTCATGCTCACGGTGACCAAAGTGCAAAGTTCACTCTGCTTCAATAGCAAAGGCTATTCCAAAGAGCAACAGTCATTGGTCTTGGGGCTTCAGCCTGGCTTTCTAAGGAGAACTTTCAAGGCACCAGCAAATTTCACTTCCTGCCCCACAGAATGGCATAATGCCCACTGGCCACACTGCCTCCTGCTGCTTCATTTCAGACAAAAGGCACCAAAGACCTTGCTGTTTAGGTTCTCCAGTCAGAGATGACTATACAGCAAGGAATAACCTCTGAGCTGGGGCTGCCCAGCTTAGGCACTCCATCATCAGAGCCCAGTGAGTTCCTCCTAGGCTGGGGCAGATGAAGGTGGGACAGAGGCAGAGGGGCTATGGAGTCACCACACAGTATTGACTGGTCCCTTGAGTCTTTTCTGCTTCCCAGTTCTAGTCCACATGAGTACTCAGCAACTGCCCGTGCGTCATCTGATAGACTGAACTGTTCTCTCTGATATTTACAAGTAAAAGAGCAGGGGAGCCATAGGGAGGAGGAGCAGATGGGCTCTCCAGGCAAGGGAGGTGACAGCCACCTGCACTTGGTGGCCTGGATTTCTGATTGAGTTGAACTTAAATTTTAAAGCTGATACCTGATTTCATCACTGGAAAGTTTTTAAGTATATTTCAAATAGGTTCATTATGTGAATCTATTTTGTTCAGCTGTAAATTTTATAAAATGTGAATAGAGATCAAGTGTTTCTGGTGGAGATTTGGCATCTGAATTGAGATGTGCTCTGAGCATACAAAAAAATGCAAAAGATCTCATTAATGATTCTTATATTAATTACATGTTAAAATTACAATGTTTGGGATATCGTAAGTTAAATAAAATTTTTTAGTTAATTTCATTCATTTCTTTTTATGGTTATTTTTTGGGGGGGGGGTTGGATTCTCACTCTCGCACAGACTGGAGTGCAGTGGCTGCTCAGCCTGATCCCAGCACTTTGGGAGGCCGAGACTAGTGGATTGCCAGAGCCTGCGGGTTCAAGACTTGCCTGGGCAACTTGGCGAGACCGCATCTCCACAATAAAGCAAACACTAGCCGGGCATGGTAGCATGCGCCTGTAGTTCCGGCTACTTGGAAAGCTGAGGCAGAAGGATCACCAGAGCAAAGCAGGGCAAGGCTGCAGTAGGACAGAGTGAGACTCCAACTCAAAAAAAAAAAAAAAAAAGGAAGAAAGTGGAATGACAAAAGATAAATCAACAGGACTTAAGGACAATTTGGCATGGGGATTCAAAAGAAAAAAGGCAAGATTATTATCTCCACTTATAGTCCTTAAGGAATCCACTTTTGTCTTAGCCTTGTCTGAGTCTGGTACTATAGCCAAAAAGTAGATAGCCACTCAGATATGCAAAGAAACCATTTTAAGATTCAGACTGTTAAACCCAACAATTGTCTTCTGTCAGGAAGAACAGCTGGGCTCAGGCCAGACTGTCACAGAGGAGAGTATGTGATTCAGCCACATCTAATAATAACAGAGAACATTAATTAAATACTCAGGTGCCAGGCACTGTTTTAAGTGCTTTCCATGCACTTCCTCATTTATTTCTCTCTACAAATGCTATAAGGTAGGACAACCTAGCACTATTTAAACCCCAGGGGTTAGAACACAGCAATTAACTTTTCATTCTCATGGCAACAGAGAGGCACACAAAGGGGAGGTGGAAAGCAGGAGAGCTTATTATTCAGTAACATACACTGCAATTTTCCATCGTCTTTCTGGAGGCAGACAGAGGCTATCCAACCTTGGCTTTAGATGCACAGATACACCAAAGAACCCAGAAAGGCCAGGCTGGGACAGACTGGCACCATGATGTGCCAGGCTCTGTGCTAAAGCATTTTCAAATGGCATCCCAGATAAACCTCACAACAGATCTATGAGCCTGACATTGCTCATTTTAGAAAAGAGGAGGTAAAATTCAATGAGCCTACATAACTTGCCCAAGGTCAAGGATGATTGCGTTCTAAAATAGGGGCAATGTTCAGGACATGAAGGCTCTACCTAGAACCACGCAGGAGTCAGGCAAATTGCCTGGTGTCAGAATGCAAAAGATAATCAGCAGCCGGGCTCGGTGGCTCAGCCTGTAATCCTGCGCCTTTGGGAGGCTGAGGTGAGTGGATTGCCTGAGCCCGCGGG